TATATATATATATATATATATATATATATATATAAAATGAAGTATTATAAAATAGTAAATGAAACGATTATCCAGGTTTTCTTTCTACCTTTTACTTCGAATTAAATGAGTAACATATGTGATACAGATGATATACAATGTCCTTGTCTTATTACCAGTAATCGGATATCTAACTAAAAATAGATACTGCTAAATCATACGAAAGGATAATGATAACGACTACAATTCAAATAATTATTAAACTGATAATTTGATGAGCTGCAATACATCGCGAACAATACGATACGAGAAATATCCTGAATCTGTTGATAAAACAATGATATTTATAGGATTCAATAGCAATTATATTCAATTGTTGTAGCGCGCTATTATAAAAGCATAAAAATTTCATAACAGGATGCTCTACGTATCAACTTTATATTACGTAATTATTCCTTTAGCGAAAGTTTTGATTTTTCTTTTATTTTGTATTGCATCTCGATTTTCATTACAAGCTTGCAAATTTTTTGTAAAGACAAAAATATATAACTATATTGTAATAAGAAATTTCATTTTGTGTTTTATCTTCGCATCTTCAACTACACATTTATTTCTTCCATTATTTACTACGCATATTAAAAATCTGTATTCTATTATACATATTTAAATGGCCGGATATATGAAAATGTGTTATGCTATAACCATTTTTTAACGTTAATAATACAGAGACAAAAGTGTGAGCGGAAACGTATCTTTCGCTAAATATTTCCGTCTTCGTGGAAAGAAATGACTAAACGCCAATGCGATTGAGCAGCTGAGTAGTATAAAGCGAATTTGCTATCGCGTCACCGGCGCAGCGTCGGCATGAGAAGAGAAAGAGGGCTAGAGGGTGGGAGTCGCACGGCGTACGTGACTGACTGCACTTGGCGCGATCTCCTCCTCCTTTCGGCATATAATACAATACTCCTTCGCAGATCTTTACATTTTTGGAGTTCTGACCTTGTCTATCGCATTCACGTCGCCATGTTATTCGCGCGATCAAAAATCGTGTACTTGATGCGTCTCGCATTAACACTTTCCACCATGTAAACGATAACTGAACACGCCAATGCGAAACAAATCAGGAGAAAGATACATTTTGTAAACTTTTCGCCATGTGGCTACTAAGCGTGCAACTGTCTTACGCTGCTGTTTAATTTTATCTAATAAAGCAAAACGTACAATCGTATTATCGATTATAACGATAAAGAGTTAAAATTCATCTAAATTGTGCCCTAATAAAATCTCAACTATATCATACATATATATATATATATATTTGCAATAATTATTTAAAGTAAAATAAATCATGTGCTATTATTTTTAACATATAAAGAGATTAGACAGAAAAAAGCCATACTCACTTTCGTTCTTCCATTGATTGTATAATTTCCTATTTTCCCATTATTGTGCATTTTATTGGCTCTCATAATGATTGCATCGACTTGCGATATTAGTGTGCCAATATTTTCACATTGTTCTTCTTTTCCATCCAGCCATATTATCTCATCACCACGTATTGTTTTTAAGTCATTTGCGCTACCTTTAGTAGAAACCAATTGTCCATCTTGAAATAATCCGGCACCATACATATTTAACACTTCATTTAACACTTTAATACCCCTTTCCTTGCCTAAAAATTTGTCTACCACGCATACGCCGTATTTGTCCATATCCCTTATCACATACTGACAAATTTTATCTAGAAGTTCTTCGAGATTACTTCTGTTCCTATGTAGAAAAGGAGGTGAAAAGTCTTCTTCCTGATCCTGTATCTCCGACAAGTTCTTCATACCGTTACGATGTTGAGCGGGTGAGCCGAGATCCGCGTTGCTCAAACTATCGAAAATCCTGGAACTCTCTAAAATGGGATTTAGGAGCTCGGCTCGAGCTCCCAGTATAGTGTCCTCTGAACTCCCCTCATACGTTATAGGCGACGTCCAGCCATCGGCTTTGTTATTTCGCGCGCTCCTTGTCTTTCCGCTATTTGATTTCTTCTTAAGATTCTGATTTCTTTTCCGTTCTTGTTGACTCGATTCGTTTTCTTCTTGCACACTCGCATCTGCAATTAGAACAAGTATATAAAAGACTGTCAGTTTGACATTAATACGTTAAAGCAATGTAATTATCTTATAATTAAGATACGATAAAACGCCTCTGTATCATCAGCTGCGAGTGCGTTGTATCTAACGATAGAATGCAGAAACGCGCAATCACAGTAGGGTTTGCTATTTATATCGCGAGTTATCGGCAACGAGACTCCTATTGTCATCAAATGTCATTAACGCACAAAATCCTCCTACTGCGTAAAACTGCTTAAAACTGCGTAAAACTGTATAAAACTGCGTAAAAAGAGACAATGAATTTGAGAAGAATTTAACAATACAAGACCGTTGGTGCATACCTGCTGGATGCTTCACGTTCCGACACGACTCCGAGGTGACGTTACTGACGTTCAAGCCCCGCGGTGCGGCCGAGGTCTTGTTTAGGTTTAGGTTAGGAACGACCGCCTTCGGGGCTTTACGATTACCGACAGAGGGATGCCGCTTGGACGGGATCGTCGGGATCTCGCGATCGAAACTCTCGTTCGTGGCAATCGTGGCAACGGCAGGCAAGGAGACCGGCTCCTCCGTTGGCACGGTGGCCGCGGGATGAGTCGCACAAAACTCCCGGTGGCGTTTCCAGTCGCGTCTCTGGTGCTCCTTCGTGCAGTAGAAGACGACTTTGCAGCGCGAACACCTCGACAGCTTGTCAGTCTTGTCACAGACCGCGCAAACCACTACCGCACCCGTTCGAACGTCGTCACCGAGTTGATCGAGGGTCTGCGTACGACCATTCGGTCCGGACCCGGACATGTTTCAATGTTTACTCCAACGCCGCCGCGGCGGTTGTCGTCGTCGACGACATCTCTTTCGACGAGGAAAGTCACACCGACATCACCGACACGGCTACCGCGCCGTCTGCTGTAGCTGCACTAGAAATGTAGAAATACTAGAATCGCTACAGCGCAGCTACGACTGCGTCTGCGTGTACGTGCGTGTATCTGCGTAGCACAGCCGACAGCGTAGCAGTAGCACTAGCACCAACTAGCACTCCATACATACAACTTCCCCACCCATCACTGCGAATAGAGCGAAATGTAAATTGCAATCTCTGCCAGCGTTGCCAACCTCCGCATTATTAAAAATCGTACCAACAATACAAAATTATCGTATTTTGATTAAAATTATCGTACATTTTTTTTTGTTAAT